TTAGAAATTGGTCGTACGTTAGGGCGGGCTGGTGAATGGAGAGGCAGACACAACTTAGCGGTTGTAAAAAACTTTACTCACGCCGCTTGCAATCACGACACAGGTGGTCCGGTCGTCTGAACAACCACGCGAGTTGTTCCAGCTGGTGGGGCCCAAGCCAGTTAATCCGTCCGCAATTCGAAGCTGGCGGGGAAAGGGGGTACATCTGGGGTTGCGCTCGGTGACAGGAAGAAAGATCGATAGGTGATCAGTCTATCGATCGGCAGCCGCAAGTCAGATAACTTCAGAGGCACTCTGCAGCGTGCTCAAAGCTCTTCGACTTAAGCGGAAGTCGCGCAAAATTTTAAACGGCCAGCAAGCCAATTACTAGCTGCCACGTGTGAATAATTTAGCACTGGCCAATAGCGGGGCACAAATTTACATTCGAATAGCGGGAACTCTTTGCACCGTGCATTTCTGTGCTGCAAAGAAGAAATGCATCCTGCAAAGGAAACTGCAAATTGGCGGGAACTCTCTCCTACACACGGGTTCTCAATTGCAGCAGAACACTCTGCCGTGCAAAGGAGCTCTCATGTGGCCAGGAAATTCCATAGTGCCGAGGCACCAAAATCACTGGGTTGTGACACTCTACTTCACCTCTTGCTTACCCTTAATTAATTGTGAAGGTTACAGTTTAACTCAAGACATCTAATTGTACACCACAGTTCATACTGGATTCAGCGGTGAAGTTTAAACAAAAGCTGTACCCACAACTTCTATCCCCATAGAAGACACTACTGTATACATTAAATTGTGTGGCATACATGCTTATTCCCAACACTAGGCATCCATTACAACATCACTGAATGTTGGTCTGTGCATTGCAAACTTACCTGCAGTTGGGTTTTCTTAGTACCTTTTACAAACATCCTTTGTGTGATTCAATGGTAGCAGACAGATTAATGATACATTACCAGAATTCAAGGCCTTGCATTTTATTTAATTTTAAGAAGGTTTGGAAAGATCAATCCTCCAAACATATTCAGAGCAATAAGTCTAGTCAAAATTTGTAAGTTTTATTTCCGTCAGAAAGAGCATAAAGTTTGTTCAATCAGCTATGGAAAGTATCAAAAACTGACAAAAAGGAAGAATTTTTGCAAGAATTTGAACATTCCCATTTTTGATCACTTTAGAAAGCAGACAGCAGGCCTTCTACAGAGGGTACTTATATAGAGCTTATATAGTGCCACATGAACATCCCACAGCATTTAGCCAACAGGAAGAGGTGACTTGTCCTAGGCACAGGCTTTCCTTCTGTTCTAAGCCTCCCAGAAGACTTTCACACTCGTAAAACACCTTGTCTTGGCTTCCCTCCGGGACTCTTTGCTAGCACTTCCAAACACACCCACAGGGACTTGATTTTTAAACCAACTCCTGGCTGAATTTGCCTCAGAAGTGCACTGGCCTCCATCCACCTCTGCACACACTGAGAACTATGAGGACAGAAGAGAGTCCTATTAACAAATTTTTTTCCTGTTTGCCTTTTTCTAGAAATACTGATTAGCCTAATTATATAAATTGCCATTAATTAACATTCCATACAGATCAATACATGCTCAATAGCTATATAAAAATAGCTGGAGGATACAACTAACAAAATCTGACACAGATGAGCACGAAGTGGTGCAACTTTCTCAGTCATTGTTGCCTGGGAGCAATGATGCCATTTGGACAACAGCAGCTCCAACTGTCACTCTAGAAAATTCAAGACAGTACAAATAAGCCAAGTACATGAAGGAATAAAACCCATAAAGCACTTTCAAATAAAGCAAGACCTGTTAGAATTGGGCATTTTACTCTTGTACATTAACTGGTCAGACTACAAACATCATCTTCACAGATAAGCACTTAAAAAAAAAATTATCTTATTAATTTGTAGTTTCTTCCTTTCACAGTCAGCTATTACCTATCCCCAGCAGACAACAGGAGGTCTGGTTTCAGGAACACTGCTTGAGCACTTCCAAAACGTCTCCAGCATCAGTGCAGCTTTAGATGACATGATGGTAAGCACCAGACTAGCATTGGTGAGGCTGAGTCTGTGCTAGAACATGCTAAGAGAATCTCAGGAAATCCTTAGTACAGACAAAGCCTAAAGGAGCCATGACAAGTAAGGAGTGTATGGAGTTAGCTACATGAAACTCAGCAGCATTCCAACCAGCTTTTCTCTGTTAACAGCTCAAGGAAGGAAAGTATCATATCAATTTCTCTATAGCCACATCTTCATAGAGACTAAGCAGGATCCTCCACCTGAAGTACAAATATTTATTCATGGAAGGCCACAGACTTTTTTTTTGCTACAAGAAAAGGGGCACAAGCAGTAAAGGAGCAGAGACAAAACAGTGCAGGAGACACCAGAGAAGGAAAAAAGTATCTTTGATTCCTTTGTGGCAAAGCAGCACTGCTGCAGACTTTGTCTGGAAGGAGCAAGAGGTGTCTAATCCCACTTCTGTCCAGTGTATTTGGAGCTAATGCTGCATGACGACCTGCCACTTCAGGATTTTGTTTCCTAAAAATCCCTGATGGAAAATTCTTAGAAATGAGATCAGGAGGCAACAATGCTCAGTGAACTCCCTTTACTGAATTTTGACCTGTGGAACTACTTGATTGTTTTTTGTTTGCAGAACTACATTTTAAAAATCGACAGGTTTTCAATATGAAAACATGATGCATGGAGATAAAAGTTACTCACGCAATCAGATTTTCTTTCCAAAACAAAAACTACAAGGTACTTCAGTCCTCTTGCAGTAACCTCATCCAAGCAATCCCAAGTCTACTAGTTCAAAGTAACCAAAAGTTTAGTTCTTGCATTTTAGAAGTACTTATAATATATTAAGTTAATCCTTTCAGTAAGGAACGCCATAACATTTTTGTGCGGAGATGACAGAGGCATTTTAAGTGCCAACATTCCTCTGGGCTAGCAAACGAGGATGCTCTGGTCAGGGTGTGCTGCAGTGAAATGCTGTTTTACTTTTTTAAAGTTCTCTCAAACTTGTTTTTGCAACATTCATAATACACAAACAAGGATGTTTCTGTATTTAATTTACAAAGACCGGCTAATTCCATTTGCCCAAACCCTACTGTTTGTTTAAATAGTTGACATTTAACAAAGATTCACTAAATTTTGTCTCAGAAATATTCAGAGCCCCAACCTTGCATAAAAGCCTGCAGTTCATTTACAGAAGAAATGTACTGTATCTGTACAAACGACAGCTCTCATTTTAGAAGTTGATAGCTTTGCCAAAAGAGGCTGCTAGGTTTGCTTCCCTGAAGGCTTCTGATACTGTCTGTAAAGAGATAAAACAAGGACAGAAGTCACTAGAGAATAAATATTTCTCTTGAAGCTATTATATACCCAGAACCAAAAGCTCAGACAAAAAAAATACTCTATAACCAACTTACTGGGTGGGCATGGCAAACTCTGGCCACATCTTCACATGATGCTCCATATTCCATAGCAAGAGCAGCTTCATTAACCATCTCTCCAGCACCCTGTAAGCAACACAACAGGTCTAAATAGTATAAATGTCTTTGCATCACACGCAGCTTATTTTAACAGAGGATCTAGCTATGAAACATACCAATTGTCTGCAAAATGTATCTTTTATAATCTAGTCATATTCAAAAGTGCCAAATGTAAGCATGCAGATGATCTGTTCAGTGACTGCGCTTGAAGCCTGTCACTCACACACTGAATGACTGTAAAAAATAAAATACAAAACAATTGCATATTACTGCATTTTTCTATATCTTAACTACCCTACACTGCCATAATTCCCACCACAGCAACCACAGGCTGCAAGAACACACTCAAGATTGGCAGCAGTGAAAAAGAATGCCTCACTTCTACGCAAATTGTCAGTAAGGCAAAAATGTCATTCTGGTCCAACCTGCTCTAAGCTGCCTTTGTTGATATTAACAGCATTTAGCAGCAGATGCATACACAGAAGTAATATGGTTAAACTGATAAACTAGCAGTGTCCCAAACAATTAAGAAGTGTGTTTTGAGTTAATTAACCTTATTTACATTTATCCAGATGACATCGCCAGCAGGATGATAGCTGAAAACAGATGAACCTGCCCAGCTAGTTTTAATGTTATACTACATTTAGTTGGAAGAGCTATCTCCATCAGGAGCCTTTAGTGAGAAGGGCAGCTATTCAGGAAAGTCCTCTGACTTTCACTCTAACAGACCTAACTTTCAGCATTCCTAAGAAAGTTGTTTCTTTTTCTCTTTAAATGGCCACAGGTGTGAACAAACTAGCAAGCCTCTTCTTTCTTTTCAGTCTCTTCAGAAAAGGGCAAGATCAGTTCACATTCCCCTAATGCTGCTACACACTCCCATAACCTTGAAGTTTTCCTTCAAATTGATAACACTGCTGTCCATTTCCCTTAACTCTGGCCTTTGGTAGAGTGATGTGAGGTGTTTTTACACTTTCCAATGCCTAAAATTCCGTAAGTTTGAGACTGCTGAATGATTACAGTAAAAGCTCCGTTATCTGGCATCCCCCAAGGAACGGGGGATGCCGGATAACAAAATATGCCAGTTAATTGAGCGGCCCCGGCCGCCGCTTACCCCACCACATCTGGGACGTCCTGCCGCCCCACCTGCGGGTCCATGGGACAGGGAGGCAGGCCCCGCACAGCCTGTTATGCCCCCGGGCTGTGGGGGCTTGCAAGTGCAGGCTGCTTTGCCCCGGGCCGTGGGGGCTCGGAGAAACCAGAAGTGCCCCGGTGGGCACTTCTGGTTTCACTTTATCTTACAAGCCAGCATGCCAGTTAGTAGAGCGTGCCAGCTTGTAAGATGCCAGTTAACAGAACTTTTACTGTAATTAGATAATCAAACTATGAAATATTAGGTCTGATTCCAAGAAGCATCATTAAGATTGTGCAGGGTATATGCATCTATCAGTTGTGGAAAAACATGACATTTTTCATAGTTTCATAGTTTCTAGGGTCGGAAGGGACCTGGGCAGATCATCTAGTCCGACCCCCTGCCATGGCAGGAAAGAGTCCTGGG